GTGTACACTTGACGTGCTCAGGGGAGTCTGGGATGCGAACCCAGATCCTTTCCTATGTGGGTGCTACTGTGCCAATGCCTCACCCTGGAGTGAAAAACCTTTGATGAACTCAGTGTGTTTATGAAAACCCTGTCACATCTCCTGGACCAGAAAATAGGTGAGCAGACTATATTAGACTCCCATTTTCTTTCCACTCAGTTCCCTTTTGTAGTTTCAGTGAAAATCTTCCCTTGTAAATATTTCTCTGGTCAGGCTAAGAAGACAAGAAGATGCTCTCTAGGCTAAACTTGCCACCTATATAACAAGAAAAAGAAAAGATTTTTTCCTTAAAGGTTAGAAAAGGAAAAATCCTGTGTTAGAATGGCTTTAGCAATTTCTACTCTGAAGAAGCTTGTATGCTTTTAGAGTCTAGAAGTTCACAGTCATGTCTCCCATGGTATGTAGTTCACAGTTCACATTATTAGAGGTTTCAATGGCCATTTTTGATCATTTCAATAATCATTTTTAATTATTTAGGCTTCAAGGAGACAACCTGGCAGAAAGGACAGAAGAGACATTACAAATACAACATTCTCCAGATGAAATAATCCCAGATTCTTTGGGTAAGTTTTATATCCATCAATACTTTCTGTAGTTTTAGTGCACTTAAAGATAGAAAGAAAAATAAACAAAGAGAAAAAAACTGAATCAAACATCTTTACTTCATCAGATCACACTCCCTGTGCACACATGTCCAGCACATTCTTTGGGCTGCTTATGTCAGAGGATAAGGGCAAAGGGCAAAGGGCAAAGGAGAGCACATGTGGACATGAAGGAGCAGCCTCTTAAGGCTCTCTTTTGCTGGAGGTCTGAACAGATCAGCCTTAAGTTGGCTGTTTCCAAAGTTTTGTCCCTAATTCTGCTTGCTTTTAGGACTCCACTTTGCCTCCTGGCTCTCCAGAAAATGGAACTCATTATCTGCCCCCTGAAACTTGCTCTCTCCAACTTCCATTCCCACATTATTGATCCGTTCAGTCCTTCTAGACAGAAATGTCAATGTACTTGGTAATATCCTGCTCCCTGTCTCTCAGCTCTATATTCAATTGCTTGTGAGTCATTTCCATGTCACTTCAGAAGTTTCACTCTGAGCCAGTCTCTCCTTCACTTTCTCTGACACTGTCTGGAGTGTGATTTTTTTGCCTCTCCATCTGGTACAGCAGCCTTCTTTCCCTCCTTGAATGGTGGTGTCATTATGATTTAGTTTTTTTATCTTTCTAAACTAAAGCTGCTGCTTCTTAAAAAAAAAGAATTATTAATTTTATTTATCATTATTATTTTTTAGTTTGCTAAAGGCTTATGTGCTCATGAGAGAGAAAGAGAGAGAGAAGGAGAAAGGGGGGGGCAGCAGTTAGCATAATGGCTATGTTGCTGGACTTCCATGTAGCCAACCGTGGTTCGAGTCCTGGGCCCTGTGGCTTAAACTCACACCAGGTGCGTGTGCATGCGTGCCCAAGATCCCGAGAGGAGAATGGAGAAGAGATTGTGGCGTGACCATTCCCCCTGGGGGGTGATTTCTTGCTTTCTGTCTCTCTCTGTCTGTATGGTGAGCATACATGCCCTATGGCAAAAACTTAAACAATAAAGAATAAATAAATAAAAATTGTAAAGAGAGGGAGAGAGTGAGTGATTGTATAGGAAAGTAAGAAAGCAAGGCACCAGGTCCAAGACTTGAATCATGGTTGGCTATGTGGGAGTCCAGTGCCTTAGCCACCATGCCACCATCTGACCCTCAAACTAAAGCTTTTTGTTCCATCCCTGTGTTCTATGGGACTAAATTCAAACACCTTAGAATATGAACTCAGGATACTTCAATATGCTTGCTGAATACATAAATAAGTACTGCAGTGCCATTCCAATGCATCTGAGGTAGTTATTTTCATCAGTGTTCCAGCAGGACAAGTTGGCACGTAACATCTGGATAGTTTGAAGAGCAACTACAGGAAAATATTTTCCTGACTCCTCGATAAAGAAGGACATCTGACAAGACACAAAAATTCTGAGCCATAAATAATTGAAAAAGTCAACTATAGAAAATTAAGAACCCCTATTTATCAAAAGATAACAGGCTAAAAGTCAAAATGGGAAAATATATTTGCGATGTATTTGTCACTGACCATATATCAATATTCACAATATAAAGAACACCTGCGATTTTATGGAGGAAAGAACAACAAACCAGTAGAATAATAAGCAATAGCTATGAATAGCCATTTCATGGAAGAGGAAACATTAATGGTCAGTGAGCATATGAAAAATGCTCAACTCCCTTAGTAATCAGGGAGAGCCGAGGATGACAATATTGAGATACTGTTCGAGAACCTTCTGTTTAGTGTTATAAAGAAAGCTGGCAAAACTGAGTGTTGGTGAAGACACGGATGTTAGAGAACACATTTACTACAGTTGGAGTATAAACAGTTTTAATAAATTATTTTATTATCTCGAGCATTTATGTAATATAAAACCTAGAAATTCCACTTCTAAATAAATGTCTTAGAGAAACAAGTCTCACATACTATGAAATGTGAATCATTGTTAGTATGTCCAGGGACAGAGAAATTAATAAATTGTAGAATCGTTTCACCGTGAGAATCTGAATGCATTTCAACTACCCACATGGGATAGATAAACTCAGTGGCCTGCTGGTAAATGTTTAACAAATGTTTTCCTGAGAAAAGGGAGCTCTGATATGTAGAGATGGATGATTTCTGTGGTGTAAATGCTCCCACCATGACTGATTCAACCTACCTGAAGCTGCAGACTGTTCTCTCTACTATCAGCAGGTGCAGCTCACCTCACAGTGAGTCTTAATAGCACAATGTTGATTGAGGCAAAGTCAACTTTTTATACAGCTCAAGGTAGGCAAACTAAATATGTTCTTTATGAAAACATACATAGTGATAAAAGTATATTTAAAGAAAGGAGTGATGAATCTCAGACAGTGGTTATCCTCAGTGTGAGGGGTAGTTGGGAGATGGACAAAGAAGTGGAGCCCACAGGGACATGAGGCTTCCTGAAAATGCTCTAGTTCTTACTCTCTCTCTCTCTCTCTTTCTGTGTGTGTCAATTTAAAAAATAAATGAATGGGACCAGCAGTTAGCGTAATGGCTATGCCGCTGGACTCCCACATAGTCGACCACGGTTCACGTCCTGGACCTGGTGACTTAAAAAGCACGCCGGGCGTGTGTGCATGCGTGCCCAAGATCCCGAGAGGAGAATTGAGGAAAAGGGATTGTGGCGTGGCCATCCCCCCTAGGGGGTGATTTCTCGCTTTCTATCTCTCTGTCTCTCTCTGTCTGTCTGGCGAGCGCACGCGCCCTATAGAAAAACCTCTCCAAAAAAGGAAAAAAAAATAAATGAATGAATAAAATAAATAAATAAAACTTAAAAAAATGCTCTAGTTCTTGAGTTAGGTGGTGAGTGTGGAGTGCTTATTTTATCAGTGTGCTTAGTAAATGAAATACACTGTGTGTGTGTGTGTGTGTATGTAAATGATGAATTATATATATTTATATACTCATATAATTAATGTGTCAAATATTACCTAGCAAGGGCCAGCAGATGCCATAGCAGTTACATCACTTGCCTCCCATATGACTGTCAGCAGTTTGAGTCCCAGACTTAGTGGCTTGAAAATCATGTCACGCATGTGTGTATGAGTGCCTAAGATCCTGGGAGGAGAATGGAGGACCAGGGATTGTGGTGTGGCCAACCCCTCAAAGGGTGATTTCTCACTTTCCCTCTGTCTGTCTCTCTCTCTCTCTCTCTCTCTCTCTATCTCTCTCTCTCTGGTGAGTGCATGTGCCCTCAGGCAGAAACCTCTTTAAAAAAATTACCTAGTAAGCATTACAAACTAGTGTGTTATGAGCACATAAACTAATGGCGACATAGCAACATACAGAGCCATACTCTGAATAGTTGATACATCCTCAAATCTATTAGTGTTCGAATGCCATAACACATTCTTACGATAAATCTTAACCCAAACCGTGACAGCTGAGCAATGTGTCATGAGACACAGGAGGCCCCAGGCTGGCCATGCCATGCTGCTGCTGGCTGTAGGAGTTAGTGTGGTTTTTCCTCACAGATACCCTTGCAAGTGTACCTATATGTACGGCATTCTTCCTTGACTTGTTTCATGGTAAGATTTTTGTTCCTTCTGCCTAGACACCCTCTGCTCTGAGATCTTGTGGTCTCTCAGATGTCTGCCCCACATCAGTGTTTCTTCATTCAGCCCCTGCTTACTTTTGAATTGCTTCTTATGGTGTGTTCTTCTCACTTCCATTGGATCACATGCTTCCTGAACTTTGTGTTTCCCGTCATGTTTAATACAAAATGAGAAACAAGACAGATAGTCGATAACCATATGCCCATTTGTTCGTTAATTCTATCAAAGTTCTCCAGTCTACTAATCTGTGTCTGTATATCCTTCAGCAATCACATTAACTTAATTATTGGTCATTGTTGCATTGTGAATTTCTTGGTAAATTAAACAATATGTTAGTAATATGTATGTCCACTAGAAAAATAATTATTGGTCATTGTAGCATTGTAAATTTCTTGGTAAATTAAACGATATGTTAGTAATATGTATGTCCACTAGAAAAAGATTTACTGTTTAAGCTCTTTTCATTTTTTTTTTTTTTTCGTTTTTGCCATTAAGGCACATACACTTGCCAGAGAAAGAGTGAGAGGAAAAGTGAGAAATCACTCCCCAGAAGGGATGGCCAGATGGCAATCCTTTCTTCATCATTCTCCTCCTGGGATCTTGGGCATACCCACACATGCGTCTGGTATGATTTTCAAACCACTAGTTCTGGGACTCGACTGTGGTCAGCTTCGTGGTAGTCCAGCTGCCTTAACCACTGTGCGACCTGCTGGCCCCTATTAAGCTCATTTCTTGAAATGCTTGTATCCTGCCTTCTTTACATTCAAATATTAGTATACTTAGCAAATTCCAAAATGTGGTTTCTGATTTTTGTATATATTTTTTTTTCTAAGTTAATCAGATACACTATACCTAATAATTGAAAACTATTGGCCTTATCCAAAAGTGCTAATTTGGTTTTGATGGCAACTGTGCATTCACATTAAATTTGACCCAGCAAATACTGCTACCAACAGGTGTACTTTTGTGTATAAAAAAACTTGTTGTGACTTAAACAGCAAAAGTGAAAATACTGGAGAAGTCAGATGAAGCTAAACGGTGTGAAGATAACTCTACAAATTTCTAGTTTCCTATCAGCATGCCAAATCAACCACAGAAGCTAAATTTCTAGTCTAAATGCTGCCAGAAATTATTAAATTTCTTTATTTTGGGGGGGAGGATTTTGCTATAGGGAGTGTGCGCTTGCCCGAAAGACAGAGACAAAGAGACAGAAAGTGAGAAATCACGCCCTGGGGTGATGGCCATGCCACAGTCCCTTCTCCTTCATTCTCCTTTCAGGATCTTGGGCACGCATGCACACGCGCCCGGTGTGAGTTTAAGCCACCAGGTCCAGCACTCAAACCGCGGTTGACTACATGGGAGTCCAGTGACATAGCCATTATTCCAACTGCTGGTCCC